GAAACGATGATGTAATAAAAACTCATGGACCGTGGTTTTATTATTTTATATTACAAAATACAACGAGTACTTCGGTCACACTATCATTTTACCTCATATACCCTCATTTACTAGATCCATGTCACATATATACATAAATGTAATAGCAGTAAATTTTATAAACTATAAAGAGAAATAACTCTACAATAGTAATAAACTAAACTCAATATACCGAAAACAATTAAACAATTTCTGTATGAATTTTTAGATCGTAGCAGATTAAGGCATTACCGAAATGTACAAAGTAATGAACCTGTCGATAAAGATCTAAAAATGTGTATGAACTAAAAAAGAATATACAGGTCTTCAATTGTATACATAAAATCGAGCTTGGTCACATTTCCAAAACGTGTAGACCTTGAAATATATATGAAGTATCATGTTAATAAAGAACTTATATATATACGAACTGATACACAGATAAATGTTAAATTGTATACATAATATCTAAACACTACCAATACATATAAGAGATTTAAGTCTATACAAAGTAAGTAACCTGACGATCAAGATCTTAAATGTTCACGAACTAAAGTATTAAGAGATCTTTAAATATAAACAAAGTAACCAACCTAATGACCTTCTCAATACATGAAGCTCTTGAAATCTATAAGAGCATGTAATAGTAACGAGCCTATAGCTAAAGATCTTAAATGTAGACAAACTAAAGAATATATAGATCTTGTATTTTATGCATAATAGCGAACCTGGTGACATTTCCAATACATATATATATTTTAATGTTTCTAAAATAACGAATCTGGAAGGCCTTCCCAACGCAACTAGATCCAAATAAAAAGTTATATTAACTTTCATTACAAGTAAAATATTATTTTATTCAAATTTTGTATTTAAATTAATTAAATATTAAAATCTTATATTATTATTCAAAATTTAAATAAATAATAAATTATTGTAAGTAAGTTAGTATTATAAAAATTAAAATATATAAAAATACTATTATATATTTATATTATTATATATATTATATTGTTATTTATATTATTTTTATATTATTATATTTATTATTTTTATATTATTAAGTTATATTTTTATTCAGACAAAAAATAATGTTAAAAATTATTTGTATACATAATTATTTGTATAAATTTCTCTTTGTAGTAATTTTTTTTTATTAAATGCATAAAATTTATAAAATATACTTAAATAATAAATTCCAAAATATATTTTAATCTTCTTAAAACTTACCTTATTTATTTAAATAAAATGAATAGAAACTAAGTCTTCTTCCAACAAAGTTGTGGCTTGAGTGTACCTGGGGTTTCCCTTTTCGCGATTTAATTATATTGTTTTTGCATCTTAACTTAACAGAAAAGTTTTCAAAACAAAATTAAGTAAATATGAAGATGAAAATGATAAACTTTAAGTTTCGAGAACAAAAGTCGCGTAGGAGCTGCACAGCGAAATAGTTTGATAATCTTTAGGATTTGTTTTGGTATATAATCGGATTAATTTATACTTGCATTCGTCAAGCAAACCACTCAATGGAAATTTTATTATATTATTTATATTTTTATGTAATTGTGTGTAAGTTTAGTGGATGTAAAGGTTTATGTCAGGATTAAGGTGCACACATGAGAAACGGAATATTTAATATGGAATTACATTTTCATTTTGAGCAGAGCGTCAACTAAAATTAATTTATATTAAAAAAAATTATTAATTATTTCCTTAAATAGTCAAGTGTTCAACTCAATTTAATACAAAAATATTATTGGTTAAAGATTTTCGTAAACAAAATTTTTTAAAAAAACATTTCATATAATTTAAATATATTTTTTATTTTAAATAAGTCTTATATTAATTAATTTTTTAAACATTTATTTTACTGTTTTTCGCATTGTTTCAGAAACAATTTTTTTTTTAATTAAGAGTTTTTTAATTACGCTAGAAAGCACATATCATTAAATCCAATAAACGCCATACAGAGTTGACGGTGTATTTCTTTATTTTTTATATTTTTGTATCT